GAGGTGGCTGAGCTGGATAGGAGAGCCAGGGGACTGTGAGAGGGCCGGCCCCTCTCTGCTGGCCTAGGAGGAGGACGTTTGGCCTGAAGGCGAGCCTGCCGAGCTGGGGGACCGGGGTTCTGTGGGACTCCGCGCGGACCCGCCACACCGAAGGCCCTCATGGGAGCCTCTGCAGGCCCTGGCCCGCTCTGAGCGCCCCAACCTCAGTGTCCTCCTCTGCGACATGAATAATGGCGACAGGTCCCACCTCCCGGGGTCGTGGGACGGAGGGCCGCACCTGCCCCCAGTGCTCCATGAGGTTGGCTGGGGTGCCCTCCTCACGCTCTCAATTAAGATGCAAACGCAGTTGGGTAGGAAGCCTTGGGAGACAGGGAGCTGACACCTGGAGTGATGTTATCGGACCTTCCCCACCTGGCAGGTGAGGGCCCTGGGCTGGGAGCTGCCGGAGCAGGCAGGGGACCACTCCCTGGATGCGCCGCGCGAGCCTGGGCCGGCCGTGCTCCCTCTGGGCTCCTGCCTGCCACAGCTGACCGGGCCGCCCCCGGGGCCTCTGGAGGCGCCGAGGCTGTCCTGGGGCACCTGCCTAGCTCGGGGGACTGAGAGCCCTCCCTCCTGCTCCAGAGGGACCCGCGTGGTGGCCTCAGCTCCCCGGAAGCCTGTTCTCCTCCGTCCTAGTGCTGGTCATACCTCTGCCCCACCCCCCTCCCCGCTGGGGAGAGCACAGCGTTTGGGAGCCTGCTGGGGACAAGGAGCCTCGTGAAAGTGCTTTTACTGTCCTGAGTCAAGCTGGGGGCCAGCAGTAAGGCGCCAATGCTCCCACTGGAGGCAGGGCTCGGAGGCGTCAGCCATGATGCTGCTTCTCCCAGGAAAAGAGGCTCAGAGCCCACAGACCTGGATGCCGGGCCCAGCTCCTCCCCTGTTAGCTCTGTGAGCGAGACATCTGCCCTCTCTGAGCGCCCCCAAGCCTCAGTTTCCTCATCTGCACTAAGGAGACACCACCTACTTTATGGAGTTGCCGAGAGGATTACAATGGGGGTAAAATAAAGTGCCCGCTCAGCACCTGGCATGTAGCTGGCGTTTAACAAACGCCTCATTAAGCTGCTTTTATTCTCCCGGAGCCAAGCCGTGAGCCAAGACTTCTCGTGTGAAGGCAGGGGGCTGACAGAGAAGATGTGGGGTTAATCAGGCATCGGGAAACCTGGTCTCCTCCTGCTAGGCAAGAAACTTACTTCTCTGGGTCTGCATTCCCGAGCCCTGGGCTGGCAGGCACGAGAAGTGGGTTCTGGTCCCTCCTTCGAAACTCATTCTCTCTCGCACTCCATCAGTATTCTCACCCGCCCATGATTCACCCCTGCCCCCGGAACCTTCCCCAGGCTGTCTGGGGTTGGTGAAGGCATCCCGCCGGGGGCCTGCTGGGGGCCCTGGCCCCATGTCGTGGAGGGGGGCACTCCCTCCTGAGCCCCCTCCCGGACCCAGCCCAGCCTCACCCCTCTCGCTGAGGCTGCAACAGAGAGAGGCTGGGGCTCATCCCTCCTGGGCCTGATTCTACAGGCCCGGCCTCTGGTATGCAGCTGGAACCCCAAAGCAGGTTTTTCCCCAGGGAAATCACTGGTCCCTGAGGACCTGCGGGGGGGGGGGGGTGAACGGCAGGCAGATGGCCTTCCATCTCGGAGACTTGGAGCCCACTGGGGCTAGAAGATGGCTCAGAGCACAGGCTGCCTGCTAGGGCCACGCAGCCCGCAGGGTGATACCCAGGACCCTCCCGTCTCTTGTCCCAGAGAAGACCAGAATCGCAGGATAAAAGGGTGTCAGAGACAATATTCAGTGCTACCCATTTTGTAGATGAAATGACTGAGGCCCGTCCAGGGTCACACAGCGGTGGAGGCAGAGCAAGGACCTAAACCCAGCACTCTTGGGCTCCTGGTACTAGATCCGGTCTAGTCTTTAGGGAAAGAGGGGAGGTCAGAATCACAGCCGCTCCCTGGCGGCCAAGCTGGGGCGGGTTGAGCATGTGCTGTGTCACTTCCCTGCCCCAGGGTCTGCCTGCCTTGAGGAGGTGGCGGGCCGGGCCGCCCTGAGTCAGCACCAGCCGCCCCAGCCCCGGTGCCCCAGCGAGGGGGTTGGGGGAGGCGGGGGTCAGTGTCTGGCCGGCAGCTGGACAGCAGGCTCAGGCCCGGGGAGGGGGAGTGTTCTCCCTGCATTGCTGCTGGGGGGCGGCGAGGGGAGGATGCGGGGGCATGGAGAGAGAGGTGATTCATGGGGACAGATAAGGCAGGGAGCGCTCCCCGTGGCGGCGGGCGGGCCAGGCAAAGCACCTCGTCAGCATCCGTCAGCATCTGTCAGCGCCACAGCCCAGCGCCAGAGCCTGGGAAGCAGCCGGAGCAGGGCGGATGGGAGGGCCCCTCCCTGCCCTGCCTGTCGCCGTGTTCTGTCGAGGCCAGGGGCAGGGGACCCGTCCTAGAGTCTGAGGACAACACAGGCCTGGTCCCCACCCCTCCACCCGAGAACTAGCTAGGTGACGCTGGCAGGGACTAACCAGTCAGGCCTCAGTGTCTACATCTGAAAAATGGGCAGATAACACTACCTGAAATTATAAAGCGCCTCGCACTCAGAAAACAGTGGCTGCTATTACCACCCGCCCAGCAGGACAGAAAGCAGGGGCGCGGCTCACCATGGTGCGGTGCGGTGTGAACAAATCCCCGTCCTCCGTGCCTCAGTGCTCTTATCTGACAGAGGAGCCTCTACTGCCTCAGACCCTCCTCCTGGGTCTGTGAGTGTGGGGACAGTCTCAGCAAGGGGTCCCCATTCTGAGAGGCATCAGGGGGCAATGCCAGCCAATCAGAGGGCCGCACCAGCTGCAGTACCACACAGGCCAGGGTTCAAACCTGAGATGGATGTCCCCAAGGCCACATCGTCTAAGCGATGCAAGAGCCTGGTGGGGCCTTTGTGGAGAGCAAACGTTACAGGGGGCCCATGGGACTTTGTGGGGTGCCTGGGACTTAGCCCCGGACATAGATGTGGGAAGCATGTGCTGGTGCCCAGCCTGACCCCGATCACCGGGCCAGGCCATCAGTCCTTCTGTCTGGGGTAGATTAGACTCGCCGGCGGTTCCCATGCCAAGGCGAGATCTGGTGTCCGCCTCCTTCCTACTCCTGGTGGGGAGGAGAGGAGCAGAGGGTCAAGCCCCACCCAGGGCCTCCGTTCTCCCATTTTTTTTTTAAATGTTTTATTAATTTCTAGGAGAGAGAGAGAGAGACAGCGTGAGCAGGGGAGGGTCACAGAGAGAGGGAGTCACAGACTGAAACAGGCTCCAGGCTCTGAGCTGGCAGTCAGCACAGAGCCCGACGCGGGGCTCGAACCCACGAACTGCGAGATCATGACCTAAGCGAAAGTCGGACGCTTAACCGACTAAGCCACCCAGGTGCCCCCGTTCTCCCATTTTTAAAAAAGGGGTCATGGGATCCCAACAGGCCCTCCCAGGACACCAGGCTGCAGGCCCTCAGGTCAGGCACTCGCCTATCCCATGGCAGGTGCGGGGGAGCCATTCAGCCCAAGAATGATGAAGGCCCCTTGCCCCTCCCCCTTGCCCTCCCCTTCCTGCATCTCCTCCTCACCCCCGTCACCTGATTCCATCTCTACGACCCGCCGAAGACACAGCTTTGGTCCGAACCACCTCCACTGGACGCACCAGAAACCCGATGCCCCAAAGCTGCCTGGGACCAGGCGGAGAGCCAGGCTCCGACACACAGGCTATCTGACTCTGCCAGCCCCCTCCGGGGACAGGGACCCCCCCCCCTTCTAGAAACCTAAGCCGTGGCCACCTTGTCAGCTCCTGACCCACTTCTGGTTTCCCTGCCCAAGGGCTCCCCCAGGCCCTGTCCACTAGGACGGTCCCCGAAGCCAGCGTTCTGGGCTTGTGCGATCTGCTGCCCCGCTCTGGGCCTGGGGAAGGGTTTAGACTCTTCTAGAAAGCCCCCCGCGGCTCCAGCGGAACAGACACTGCTCATCACTCACTGCTCTCTACTGAGCCCAGACCTGGCTTCAGACCCTTTCTCAACACCGCTCGCCAGGCAGCCTTCACCAAGCACGACAGGATGTGCTTGAAACCACGAATTCCTCTCAGCAAGAAGGCGCACCTGTTCCTCCGCCTGACCCCCCAGGGGTGAGCACCCCTTCCCAGCATGTGTGTCAGTGCGTCAGCTGAGAATGACTACCCACGCCAGGGACACAGCACGGCCCGGCAGGGGTCGAGAGCAGGCAGTGCCTGAGGTGTCCCTCCCCAGGCGGACAAGCCTCAGCTGAATTCACTCCGCTTCCACCCAGGGCCCACCCCCGTCCCCCTCCGTCCCAGCCTGGGAAGGTTCTGCCATCGCAGAGCTCACACAGGCTCAGAGAGGGTGAGGAGTCACTCTCAGTCACCCAGCCGAGCCAGGAAAAAGGCACCTTTGAACTTGGACCTCCAGGCCAGCCTCAGATAGACTCGGGCTACTTTTTAGTGTCCACTCCTGCCTTCTCCACCACTCCGGACTCTCTCCACTACCCAGGAAAAGCCACGCCAGAGGGTTCACGGCGTGTGCGAGGGCTTCCTGCTTCTCAGGTGTGAATCAGAGCCGCCCTGAGGGACAGTGAGTGAGAGAGAAACCCCGAGACTGCTCTCCGCCCCACCCCATCACAGCACTTTCCGCTGGGGACCGTGCTTGCGGCGTCTGCGGAGATCAGAGCCCTCCCCCCAACAATGCACAAAGGCCTTTGAGATGGGGTGACCCACCATCACCCGGCAGAGAACCTGGGTACCGCAAGCCTGTGCAAGAAACCGAGGAACCCCATGAGGGCCGGGGAGGACGCAGCCGGGAGGAAGCAAAGAGGACCAGGAGGGACAGTGTGGCGGTCTCTGTACCGGTGCCGGGCGCGGGCACTGACGCGGCAGCGATGCCGGCGGCCCCACCAGGCCCACTGGGCCAGCTTCCCATCCGGGGACTGCCCCCCAGCGGCGGCCTCACCTTCTGGGCCTGGCTGATCATCTTGCGCACCACCTCTTTGATGTGGGCCTGCCCGTCGATGGGGGGCTGCATGTAGACGCTGGCCCGGGTCACACCGCGGTAGGCAATGGTGTCCGGCCAGCCCAGGTCCAGCTGCGGGATGGATCGGTCCGACTTCTGGGGCCAGTACTCTAGAGAGGGCAGCGGCTCCGCCTCGGTGGGGGTCCCACCGGCCCTGCTGGCCTCCTCGCTGTCACCGACCCCGTTGTCCTGGGGCGCCCGGGGCCACTCGGTACCCCTCGGGTCCTCCGAGCCCGGGTCGTACACCTCGATGGTCTCCAGGATGCGCTTGAGCTCCAGCTCGGAGAGGAAGTCGCGGATGTTCTCCCGCTTCAGCACCTCGTAGAAGGCCTCCCGCCCCTGGGCCACCAGGGCCTCCAGGGCCAGCCGCTGCTCCTCGCTGTAGAAGAACTCGGGCTTGGACTCGCTGGAGCGCCAGTTGACGTGGTTGTCGTCCAGACACTGCACCTGAGAGAAGGCCATGGTGCCAGCGCCCCGACGCTTCTGCTGGGTGGGCGGGCGACACAGCGCTCGGCGAGGTCGGGATCCTACTTCCCGCGCGACTCCGGCCCGGCGCACTCCTGGGGCTTCACCGGCGTCTCGGCAACTCTGCCCATCGGGAGCCTGCGAGGGAGCCCAAGACAACGCAGAGGTCAGGTCAAAGTGCAGGCGGGGACTGGGGAGGGGCGACGGGCGACAGGGCGGGGGTGGGGCGGCAGTGGGAGAGACGGCGGGGCGGGACCCACGCCGGGGCGCGGTGTGCCGCTACCAGCAGGGGCCGGGGGAGCCACATCCCGGAGGAATTCTGGAGCTGCCCAAAGTCCTGGGCAACTTCTGGGAGGAACTGGAGCCAGCAGGGAACTTCCCAGAAGTTTCCAAGAGTGGGAGGCAGGAGACGACTCGGACGGCCTCTGGCCCAGCTCAGCGGCATTCCGACGGCTTCCGGGAAGGGAGCGGGGTCTTAAAACCTCCCGGCGCCACGACCGTCAACCCAAGAGGCCTGCCCGGAGGAGGCTCGGGGAAGCCCGGCTGGCAGACGCTTGGGGGCCCCGGACCCGGGGCTGGAACTCGCTTACCGGACGGGCGCGGGGCAGAGCCGGCTAGGAGAGCTGTGCGGGCGGAGCAGAGCGCACAGGCGGCAGCCGGCTGGTGACTAATGCCGCCCCTCCCACCCCGCCACCGCCTCCACCTGCGGTCACGTGCCCCCTGGGGGCGGGGCCGGAAGCTGATTCACCCCCCCCAACCCCCGAGGGACATTGACTTCGGGTGGCTGTGCCCCCCGTTTCCTGCGCTGCGTCCGGCACCCGGTGGCAGAATTCTGGAAAGCTCAGGATCCAAAGTCCAAGAGCTCTTGGAACTTTGCTGCCCAGAGAGGGACAGTGTTCTTACTGAGAACACACAGCAAATCAGCAGCCTTTGCCCCCCTCCTACCCCCTGCTCCCGGGGTGGGAGGACCTGTTCGTAACTTTGGTCCAGTCTTACCGTTGCCCAGTTTCCCAGGTGGGACGGGAAGTCCGTGCAGATACCCAGCTGTCCAGTTGTGGAAGTAGAGTTAGGGTACTGGGCTGGGAGCCCCTAGTGGAGGGATAGGGCATCGTCTGACCCAAACTCAGGAAGGAGCCTTTACATACAGAGCCGGGTGTGGACAGAGCAGAAAGATGAACAGTTCTTAGACCCTGAGCTCTGCTCCCTGCCGGGAGGGGTACCCACCCAGCACTGGTTCTGCATGATGAGCAGCGCCCCCTGGACCCTGGCGTGGGGAGGGCCAGAGAGGGCTGCTGGTGGACTGGAGTCAGGCCCGACCATCCGCCCTGTGCCCCGGGGGGACCAAATCCAAAACCTGACTGCAAGGGCAGGGACCACAGAGCCCACTAAACCTGACCCAGTGAACAGCCCCCACCCCACTGTGTGCCACAGCTAGTTGGCCAGGCACCTGGCCTGGCCCTTCCTTCCTTCCCCCGCCACTTGCCCTGGATCTGGACAGGGCTGTGGCATACTTGGGTTGGGATGGGAGCCCTGAGGACACTGGTCTGTGTTGCTCAGGGCTGGCTGGTGGCATCTCTAGGCTTCCCCGGTTCCAGAACCCCCCACCATCTATCCACCTGGGTCTGCTGCCCTGAGCGGTGTCTGCCCTCTCCAGGCCCGGCACCCCTATGGTCCCCATCGCTGACCCCTCAACCCCAAGTCCTATACTCCCTGCCATGAACCCCGCACCCCAGCCACAGGGCTTCACACTGTGGATGGCCCCAGAAGCCAGGCCCCTGCCTCTCCCTGAGCACAGCCCCACAGGTGCCCCCAGCCTCCCCCCCCAGGCACGCACACATGCACACCCACGGAAGGACCCTACCCGGCTCAGCCAGAAGGGAGAGGCAGCCAGTGAGCAAGCACGGCCTTGGGAGTCCTGAAGCCAGATTTATATCACGGCCACTGAGGGCCCAGATCAATGGTCTCTCTGGGCATCAGCCCCTCTTTGTGGTCTTACGAGTCTACAGAGGCCTTGGGGCTCGTGAAGGGGATCCCAGCTCTCAGGGCTGAAAGGCACGTAGCCCTCCAAGCTCTACAGTTACCTGTCCATAGTTACAGAGGCACGAGTTGTTAAAACAAAAACTAAACAAACAAGCAAACAAAACACCAACAGAGAGGTTGCACCCATCCTTCACCCAGTTTCTGCCAGGGGTATCATCTTGTAGAACCATCGTACAAGGATACTGTAGCCAGAAAACTGACATTGGTGCATTCCAGAACTTGTTCAGATTTCACCAGTTTACATGTGTTCATTTGTGTGTGTGTGCGTGTGTGTGTGCGTGCGCGAGCATGGGTGCGCGCGCAACCTTACCACCTGCGTAGATTGGGGTGGCCACCACCGCAGTCGACATGCAGAACTCTTCTGTCTCCAAGACCTCCCTCTTACCAGCCGTACCCACATCTCCATCCCCAACCCCCGTCAACCACTCATCTGTTCTCCAGCTCTACAAGTTTGTTATTTCAAAAATCTTACACAAATGAAAAATACAGTATTTAACCTCTAGGGATTAGCTTTTTCTTCCACCTGGCATAATTCTCTGGCAAATCATCCAGATCATCGTGTATATCGGTAGCTTGTTCATTTCTGTGGCTGACAAGTATCCCATGACCTGGATGGGCCAGAGCTTGCTCAACCATTTCTCCTGTGGAAGGACACTGGGTTGTTTCCAGTTTGGGGCTATTATGAATAAAGCTGCTATCAACATTCATATACATATTATACATATTCATTTGTGTAAATACCGTATTATGTATATTTTGCCACCAACATCTGCGTGATCTGATTTATCCACATCTTTGAGAGCATTTTATGTTGTCACAATTTTTTTACCTTTGCCATTCTAATAGGTGTGTAATAATCTCTTATTATGGTGTTATATTGCGTTTTCCTAATGACTACTGATATCCAACATATTTTCCTATGCTTATGTGCCACACTATACGTCCTCTTCCGTGACATTCTGTTCATGTGTTTTGCCCATTTCCTAAGTGGATTGTTTGGTGTTTACTTTTGACTTTTGAGAGCTTTTTATATATCCTAAATACAAGGTCTTTGTCAGGTATATAGTCTACATATATTTTCTACTGGTCTGTAACTTTTTCTTATTTATATATATATATATATATAACTATATATATATGTGTGACATATATACGTATATCATGTCTTTATCCATTCCTCTGTTGATGGACCCTTTAGGTTGTTTCCATGTCTTGGCTATTGTGACTATGCTTCAATGAACATGGAGTGCAGATATCTCTTCAAGGTAGTGACTTCATTTCCTTAACACATATGCCCAGGGCACCTGGGTGGCTCAGTCAGTTAAGCATCTGACTCTTGATTTAGGCTCAGGTCCTGCTCTCACGGTTTGTGAGATCAAGTCCCAAGTCAGTGGAGCCTGCTTGGGGTTCCCTCTCCCTCACTCTCTGCCCCTCCCCCCACTCGCTTGCGCTCCTGTGGGTGCTCTCTCTTTCTCAAAAAAAAAAAAAAGATACATACTAGATGTAACATTGTTGGATCTTATGGTAGTTCTATTTTTATTTTTTTGAAGATTTTATTTTTCAGTAATCTCTACACCAAATATGGAGCTCAAACTCACAATGCAGAGACCGAGTCCCCTACTCTGCAGACTGAGCTAGCAAGACACCTTTCTATTCTTAATTCTTTGAGAACCCTCCATACTGTTTTCCATAGTTGCTGCACTGACTTATGCTCCTATCAGCAGTGCGCACGCGCACACACACACACACGGTTCCCTTTTCTCTCCATCTTTGCCAACACGTTATCTCTTGTCTTTTTTATGATTGCCATTCTAACAGGTGTGAGGTGATATTTCATTGTGGTTTTGATTTGTATGTCCCCGATGACTCGTGATGTTGACCATTTTTTTCAGGTACCCATTGACCATTTGTATGGCTCCTTTGGAAAAATGTCTATTCAGATCTTCCGCCCGTTTTATATTTTAAAAAAAATTTTTTCAAAAATTATTTCCCCATTTATCCATTTTTGACAGAGACAGAGCATGAGCATGAGCAGGGGAGGGTCAGAACCTGAAGCAGGCTTCAGGCTCTGAGCTGTCAGCACAGAGCACGACACGGGGCTCAAACCCACAAACCGCGAGATCATGACCTGGGCGAGAGTTGGACACTTAACCAACTGAGGCACCCTGCCCGGTTTTCAATTGGATTGTGTTGTTACTGTTGTTTTTTGTTTTGTTGGCTCTTGAGTTCTTTAAATATTTTATTAACCCCTTATTAGATATATGGTTTGCAAATATTTCATAGGTTGCCTTTTCATTTTGTTGATGGTTTCCTTTGCTGTGCAGAGGCTTTTAAATTTGATAGTGTCCCATTTGGGGGTTTTGTTTTGTCTTTTTGAAGACCTTTGCTTTTGGTGTCAAATTTTTTAAAAATCATTGTCAAGATCAATGTCAAGGAACGTATTCCCCCCCCCATGTTTTATTCTAGGAATTTTACATTCAAATCCTTAATCTATTTTGAGTTGGTTTTGTGTATGTTATGAGATAGTAGTCCAGCTTCATTCACGTGCATGTAGCTGTCCTGTTTTCCCAATACTATTTATTGAAGAGACTATCCTTTCCCCGTTGTATATTCTTGGCTCCTTTGTCATAAGTTAATTGAATATATAGATATGTGTGTGTATACGTATATATATATGTGTGTGTGTGTGTATATATATATATATATATATATATATATATAAACTCTATTGTGTTCTATTGATCTATGTGTTTGTTTTTGTGCCGATACTGTACTGTGTTGATTATTATAGCTTTGTAATATAATTTGAAAACAGAAAGTGTGATGTCTCCACTTTTCTTTCTTAAGATTACTTTGGCCGTTTGAGGCCTTCTTCTGTGGCTCTATATGAATTTTTATATGAAATTTTAGGATTCTTTTTTCTATTTATGTGAAAAATGCTATTGGAATTTTGATAGGGACTATATTGAATCTGCAGATGGCTTTTGGTGGTACGAGCATTTTAACAACATGAATTCTACCAATCCATGAACATGGTATATCTCTCTATTTGCATCATCTTCAATTTCTTTCATCTGTGTCCTATAATTTTCATCGTACAAGTCTTTTACCTCCTTGGTTAAGTTTATTCCTAGGTATTTTATTATTTTTGATGCCATCATAAATGGGATTGATGCCATCATAAATTACTCTTATGGTTCATTGCTAGTGTATAGAAACATGACTGATCTTCATATATTGGCTGCATATCTTGCAAATTTACTTACATGCTCTGTAGCTTTTCTTTTTATCCTTTTCACAGGTGTCTTACACAGAACTTTTAATTGTGATGAGGTCGACTTTATCTATTTTTTCTTTTATGGATCTTGCTTTTGATGTCAAGTCTAAGAACTCTTTGCCTAGCCATAGGTCCTGAAGACTTTCTCCTATTCCTCCCCCAAAAAAAGTGTGATAGTTTTTACATCTTACTTTTAAATCTGTGATCTATTTTGAATTAATTTTTGTATCAGGTGTGACATTTAGGTTGAGGTTGAATTTTGGCCTCTGGATGTCCCCCCAAAAGACTTTACAGTAAGTAAGAGTAAGAAACAGCCTCAGAGACCTTAAATAATC